AAATTGATGCCTAGGTTGTATTACACAGACGGCATTATTTGTACTAGGTGATTGTTGAATCAAACTGGTATGGTATGGTGCATATGATCTGCGTCGATAGTACTTTCGCTAATCCATTAAGACAAGGATCCTTTTATCTCAATTTATGCATCAATTGACTATTTTTAACCTCTCCTCATACGTTTCTGGTATTATCCAATTAACTGAAACACTAGCACTTTGTCTCAGCTGCGTTTTTCAATGTGGGGAGTGACGAGGAAGACGATCCGACCAAGTATCTACCACAAGGTTTCCTGGAGAAGACTCGAGAGGTAGGCATGGTGGTGCCCTCTTGGGCCGCCCAGGTGGCCATACTGAGCCACCCCTCGATTGGAGCATTCCTATCGCACTGCGGCTGGAACTCAACCGTCGAGAGCTTGGTCAAAGGCGTGCCGATGATAGCCTGGCCGCTCTATGCCGAGCAGAGGATGAACGCAGCGATGCTGGCGGAAGATGTCGGCGTCGCCATTAGGCCGTCGGTCGAGGAGGGAAAGAAGGTGGTGGGAAGGAAGGAGGTCGAGAGGGTAGTAAGGGCCGTGATGAGGGGAGAAGAAGGGAAGAGAATGAGACGTAGGGCTCGAGAGATTAGAGATAGCTCGGTCGAGAGCTTGAGTCATGGCGGATCGTCTGATGCATCGCTCGCTGTTGTGTGTGAAGATTGGAAGACGAAGTCTAGAGGATGCTAGGAAGATCTCTGTGCGGATCATGCTTCGTAGTTTGCATTTGTGTTCTATGAGGATATCCAGCAAGAATGGAGCTCATAACTTTGGATGGCGTGTTTAGCTTGGCAAGTAGATTGGCCGATTGGGTTGTTAAAGCCCGAAGGAGAAATAAGCCTATCTGAGTAACTTGGGTTCTTTATTCCTCGGGGTGTTTGGGATTTGCTGGGTTCCGAAACCTATGAAGTGTATTCTCGGACATGTTCTGATTAAATAAAAGTGCTTTTTATGACCAAAAAAAAAAAAAAACTTTGGATGGCATATCCTTTATGGACTTGAGAGAGTAAGATTTCATGTCTGAGAGTCATAATAATGAGATTTTATTCTTAATTGAAAAGATAAAAAACCGTCTCCGCGCCTTTTACTTCGGAATAATTTTACATTCTTTATTTTCTAAAGTTCCTCACTTTAAATAAAAAAAAGAAAAATTACTTCTTCTTGAAAAACATCCAAATAATATTAAATCCCGAATTGACCACAAAGTCTTAACACCTCAAACATTATAGTCATCCACCCACTGGGCACTCGGTCCGGTGGTAAGGGAATTGGGTGGGGTGAGGATGTTTAGTTTCATGTGTGGGATTTGACTCTCACGCTCTATAAAAAGACCGAGTAAAAGTCTAAAAGAGATATGAGAGTTAAAGTGGGACAAAAAAAAAAAAAACATTATAGTCACTCCTCATCAACCACATACGACTGCTGCCTTGTATTCAAAAAGGTATTTAAAGGGAAGGAAAGAGAGGTGTTAGCCTTGCATTATTTTCGGACACACTGGTTTATTTCTAGGATGCTCCCTTGCCTCTGAAGTGTTACAAACCATGCCTTATATAGGCATAAAGGAGAAGAACAAACAAACTTACATCAATAATGTAACATACGACCAACAAGCACCAATAATACGACATATGACTAACAAGCACCAATAATTCTAGCCATTGCTGTCTGACGATGGAGTGGAGCAACAGGTCTCATGCGTCTTTTATGTGCGTATGATAATACCTTCCCATTCCATTTCTTTCCTTCGTTCTCAAAGCTCTTTCGTTTAGGTAGGGTCCTTGGAATGTTTTCGAGAACCTCGAGAAAAGCAGATCACATCTTTTTAGGAGGGGATTGATAAAAACTTGAAGGAATATCATTAGAACCTGATGTGGTGTCACTTGGCATTGCTGGTTGTGTCCAGTTGCCCAAATTCATTGGGGATACAAGATCTCTTAGGTTTAGTGATAAGTGCTTCACTGGCTTCACTGGCTTCACTGGCTGGGGCCATTTTTCCATATTCATGGAAGCTGAGATGTGTTTCCCCATGATTAAAAGGATTTTGAGAAGGTGGACCACCCATGGATCCTGAGATGAATATGGCTGTTTTGGATTGTTTGGTCTGAATTCTGCTAGAGCAGCATCAATCAAGGGCCTTGTCTTGATGTAGTCACATGAATAATCCCACGGTACATCCTAGTCATCTTTTGGCCACACTCCTGGTGGAATGGTTGGTTTCACATTGGACTCGCCGTATTTCGCGGTATTCTCGTGGTGAAGCTCTTATACAACATAGAACGGTCTTGTACACTTTAGCTGGGGTAGACTGAGCTTTATATGTTGTGACGCCCACATCTGCAGGGTACTTGCAAAGGGTACCATTTGATTTTACGAACATCAATGGCTTATAAAAGAAAACAATTATGTGTAATTTTGGTTTGGTCTACATGTCCTCAATTATTCTGTGACTGTGAAGAAGGCTTTCCATGCTCCTAATGTCTTGAACCAATAAAGCATTTGCGACGCCCCAGAACGCTAAGCATGACACGTGTTCTTTCCAAATATACTCCGTAATTATATAAGCATGTGGAAGCACAACAAAATAATCGCATCATCCCATACAAAAAAATCCAATCGGTTTAATATACATATGCTTCTTTATATAAACATAGTAATTACTAACTTAATTAATACAACATTCAAGCAAAATACAATTACATAAGTCCTAGGAAAAGTGAGGGTCACCTATCATCAACGCTCCACTCCCATGCCCCAAAACTCACCTGTACAAAAGTCATACTAAATTACGGACCGACAACCTTGCCCATTGACATGTCATCGTCAAGATCGAAGCCCCTCAGCGGTCCAACTAACTCATCACCGATTCAGTTTTAAGCACATCTTGGTATTCCGATGGGGGATCCACCCTACATCTGAAAAATAAAGGAGTGAGCTGAAGTCTAGTAAATGAAATTTCTAAGTGTAAGATATGAGATCATCTTACCACTCAATCAGACACCAATAAACAACGCGAGTTTCAAGACAAGTACAATTTGAAGCCACCAACTGAAGATGATCGTCTGCAGGGTTCACCATATTTGGTAATGCTAGTTTGGAATGCAAAATCCCATTTTGTGGTGATTCTTTGGGTGGATGCCAAGTTGCCAAAATTCTGCCTTAAAATCAAATTTCGAATAGATCATTGTATTTAATAGGGACGGGAACAAAGCTTTTTTATTTTGCAATGGACACTTGTCGTATTGCAGAAAATGATTAAGATGTTGGTAGTTTATCACCTTTCTCTTTTTCCTTATTTCTGCTAAGCTCTTTTAATTACATAAAAAGCTTCACATGCCCATTGGGAATGAGAGGGCTCAATTAGTCATTGGTGGACTTATTGCTATCATTATTGAAGAGCCAAAGTTTCATCTGAGGTAGGATCCCGAGCTTTTTTTCTTTTTCCTCTTTGTTGAATACATGTGGTATCTTGGTAAATTCTGGAACCGACCCTGAAATTTGAAACTTGTGACATGATAGATTCTATGTTTCAGAATATGCAAGGTAGGGTCGATATTTTAAAATTTTGATAATTAATTCCAAAGAGTAGATTTCAATGGAACCTGAATTGATCTTGGAATCGCTCACCCCTACTTACATTCGCATCACCCGCGAAGACCCATTTTCTGTCTGTGTTACATCTGTTACAGAAAAAATGCAGAAGCTGGCTGTGCTTTGCAAGCACAAGGAAAAAACACAGAAAAGAGAGTCAAAGAGAAGAGAGTGTACTCCCGTGAGAAATGCTTACTGCATTCATACATCATAATTGAATAACAACTTAGCCTTTTAGATAGGCCATACACAAACAGAAAAACCCAAAAAATAGCCACAACAATTGACCCACTATGCTGAACTATCTACCCACTATCCTGAACGTGTGCGGCAACAAACGTGCAGCAACAGATTCCTATAAACTAGGACAACCAACTAGGCTTTATTTAAAAACAAACAAATACTTTGACTAATTCAACACCCTCCCTTAAACTGATGTTGCAAACAATCAGTTTAAAAGGACTAAATCCAGCCCTCCCTTAACCTGCAGCTTCCAACGAACAAACACCAATAAGCTTTCTTAGCATCTGATATGCAGATAATTTGAGAGGCTTGGTGAACAAATCAGCAAGCTGATCTTCACTCCTACAAAAAACAAGTTCAATCACTTTATCTTTCGTGAGATCCCTTAGGAAATGATACTTCACATCTATGTGTTTGCTCCTCCCATGTAGAACTGGATCCTTTGAGAGTTTAATGGCTGAGCTGTTGTCACAATAGATTGTAGTTGCATCTTCCTGTTTAAATTGAAGCTCTCCAAGAACCTTCCTTAACCAAATAGCTTGACAAGCACTAGAGGTGGTAGCCACAAACTTAGCTTCAGTTGTTGACAGAGTAACAATCGGTTGCTTCTTCGAACACCATGAGACAGCCCCCGAACCAAGCATAAATACATAACCAGAAGTGCTTTTTCGATCATCCATATCACCAGCGTAATCGCTATCAGTGAAACCAATCAACTCTGATTTTTTCTCCCTTCTTATAGAATAACCCAAAAGTTGCAGTCCCTCTCAAGTAGCGAAGAATTCGCTTTGCAGCTTGGAAATGTTTTTCAGTTGGATTCTCCATGTACCTGCTAATAAGGCTTACAGGATGCATGATATCTGGCCTTGTAGCTGTTAAATACATTAAACTCCCCACGATTTGCTTATAGAAGGTGCTATTTACCTTTCTTCCATCAGGATCCTTCGACAACTTCAATCCAACCTCAGTTGGTGTGGTTACCAAATTGCAATGCATCATCTGAAATTTTTCTAAAATCTCTTCAACATATTTCTTTTGAGATAGAAAAATTCCAGCTTCAGATTGATTTACCTCAATGCCCAGAAAATAATGCATCAACCCAAGATCAGTCATGTCAAATTCCTCCATCATAGATTTCTTAAATGTGTCAATCATGACACTATCATTCCCTGTGAAGATAAGATCATCCACGTACAAACACACTAGAAGCAATTTTCCACCATGACCAATCTTAATAAATAGCGTATGCTCATATGGACATTTTGTAAATCCATCCTTCAAAAAATAAGCATCAATCCTACTGTACCAAGCTCTTGGAGCTTGCTTCAACCCATATAAAGCCTTTTTCAATTTATAGACTTTATGTTCATTACCCGGCTTGACATATCCAGAAGGTTGATGAACAAATACCTATTCTTGAAGATCACCGTGTAAAAACGCCGACTTCACATCTAACTGATAGATGAACCATGAATTCTGTGCTGCTAGCGCAATCGCTAATCGGATTGTATCGAGTCTAGCAACTGGCGCAAACACCTCTTTGTAATCCACTCCAAATTCCTGCTTGTAACCTTTTGCCACCAAGCGCGCCTTGTACTTTTCAATCTCACCATTCTTGTTCATTTTCGTCTTGTATACCCACTTGACTCCGATTGTCTTTTGCCCTTTGGGAGGATCTGTCAATTCCCACGAACCATTCTTCTCAATTGCTTTGATCTCTGCATCCATTGCAACTCTCCAGTTTTTATTTTGTACTGCTTCATCAAAAGTAGTTGGGTCACTATCTGCAAACAAAGCAAAATGGATCAGTGGGTCTTCGGTTTGCTCAACTCTCGACACTTCATAATCTTCCATCCATGCTGGCCTCCGTCGGATGCGTTGTGGTCGTTCTTCAGATGCTGCAGCAACTGCTGAATTTTCAACATTTTATGTGGTGACTTGACTCGTAGAGGGCTGCTTTTCCAGCTCAGTATCATCTTCAAAGTTTGCTGGAATTTGTTCACCACAATCACCACCATTCTTCTCGCTCCATGACCAGAATTTCTCTTCATCAAAGATCACATCACGGCTAATGGTAATTTTCTTGGTTATAGGATCATAAAGTTTGTAGGCTTTTGAATGATCACTAATGCCAAGAAAAATACATTTTTCTGCTTTATCTTCTAGCTTCTTCCTCTTCTGGTCAGGAACATGGACATATGAAAGACATCCAAAAATTCTGAAGTAATCAACTGCGGGTCTTCTCCCGCTCCAAGCTTCTTCGGGTGTCTTATTTAAAACAGCGAGAGTGGGACTTCTATTCAAAAGATGAACAATCCAATTGACTGCCTCCGGCCAGAAGCTTTTTGGAACTCCACTTGACGTCAAAAGGCTGCGCACCATATTCAGAATAGTGCGGTTCTTCCTTTCGCAAACACCATTCTGTTGCGGTGAATAAGCTGCAGTGAGTTGTCTTTTAATCCCATGCTCCACACAAAAATCTGCTAATGTAGTTGAAATATATTCGCCACCACGATCCGTGCGGAGAACTTTGATTGAATTTCCACTCTCTTTTTCAACAAGAGTTTTGAAGCTCTTGAAGGCCTCAAAGACTTCAGATTTTTCCTGCAAAAAGTAAGCCCAAACCTTCCGACTGAAATCGTCAATGAAGGTAATGATATATCGTTTGCCTCCATTGGACATTGGGGAAATTGGTTCGCAAATATCTGAATGGACAAGTTCGAGGTGCTTCTTGGCTCTCCATGCTTTGCCTTTTGGAAAATGATCTCGGTGTTGTTTGCTAACAACACACTCTTCACATATTTCGGACTGCGCCATGATTGGGGGAAGTCCCTCCACCATCTTCTTATGATGTAACGTCCGCAACCCACCAAAGTTGAGGTGTCCATATCTGAAATGCCATAACCATGCTTTATCCTTCAATCTTGCAGAGAAACATGAGTGAGAGGTGCCATGAAGATGCAGCGGGAACATCCGATTGGCAGTCATATTAACTTGAGCAATCAGATGCTGTTTCTCATCATGGATTCTGCAAACACCTCCTTTGAGTGTAATTTCATATCCCTTCTCTTGCAATTGTCCAACACTTAGAAGGTTGGTCTTTAACTCATGAACATAAAACACCTCTTTGATCATCTGAACCGAGGTTCCTTTAGGAACAATTGCAACTGTCCCTTTACCCTTAACTGACACAGTCGAGTCGTCTCCAAATTTGACTGAGGTACGAAATGACTCATCTAATGCAGAGAATGCCTTCTTGTCTCCACACATATGGTTGCTGCAACCGGTGTCAATACACCACAGATTCGATGAAATTTTCTCCGTTTCTTGACACACCATTAGGAGAGACACTGCTTCTTCTTTTTCTTCCGCAAAATTATTCCTTTCCATGCTTTGTGTATTTAAATTGGTACGACATTCAGATTTATAATGTCCATACCTATGGCATCTAAAACACTCTACTCTAGATTTGTCTACTGACTTTGGTTTGTAAACAGTTGAGTGTTGACCTCCATGTCCTCGTCCTCCACCTTGAGCATCACGAGAAAAATGACCATTAGGCTTTTGATTGAAACTGCGACGTTCATTGGTTCCCCTTCCTCTACCTCTGCCACTATTCGTTCTTGTTGTTGACGAAAAGTGATTTGTAGTTGCCTTCAACGCCTTCTCTTCCGGCTCTTGCTCAAGAAAATTTTGTTCGTGAACCAACAACGACCCTTGCAGTTCATCAATTGAGAGTTCTTCAATGTCCTTGGCTTCTTGTATAGAACAGACAACAAAGTTAAACTTTGGTGTCAGAGATCGAAGAATCTTCTCAACGATGGTGACATCCTCCGTCTTATCGCTGTGAATCCGCATCTTATTGACAATTGCCATTGTCCGAGAGAAGAAATCGGTAATTGACTCTCCCGACTTCATTCTTAGTAACTCAAACTCTCCACGAAGCATTTGAAGTTGCTGCCTTTTTGCTCTTGCGGTACCTTGATATTTTTTCTTCATGGAATCCCATATGTGCTTGGAGGTATCCTTACAGAGAATTGTCTCCAAGATAGATCTGTCAATGGCCTGAAAAAGGTAGTTTTTGGCCTTGAGATCTTTCAATCTTGCTGCTTCCAGAGCCGTCCGTTGTGCTGCTGTCAACGTAGCTCCTTCTTCTGGTTCGGCAACTCCAGAGATAACGACATCCCAATATTCCTTGGATTTTAGGAAGTTCTCCATTAGCATGCTCCAATGATCATAATGACCATCAAAGCGTGGAATAGCTGGTTGGACAAAGGTTTCTGAAGCCATCACCGCTGCTGGATACCAAGAAAAAATCTTTTCTCACGTGTTTACAACTCAAGCTCACTTTTTGGCTACTGCCTTTCACTCTCACTTTTTCCTCTCGTGTTTTTAACTCACTTTTCCTTCTTTAATGGCTCTGATACCACTGTTACAGAAAAAATGCAGAAGCTGGCTGTGCTTTGCAAGCACAAGGAAAAAACACAGAAAAGAGAGTCAAAGAGAAGAGAGTGTACTCCCGTGAGAAATGCTTACTGCATTCATACATCATAATTGAATAACAACTTAGCCTTTTAGATAGGCCATACACAAACAGAAAAACCCAGAAAATAGCCACAACAATTGACCCACTATGCTGAACTATCTACCCACTATCCTGAACGTGTGTGCGGCAACAAACGTGCAGCAACAGATTCCTATAAACTAGGACAACCAACTAGGCTTTATTTAAAAACAAACAAATACTTTGACTAATTCAACAACATCATGCGGACTCTAAGTGGGACCTACATCAATTAATGACTGAGATTAACCGAGCTCATATGTTCCAGAAACATACGAGAACTGCTCTCTACGTCATATTTTTTTTCCCGCCTTTCGGACAAAGAGGGAGAATTTTGTCCCATTGTCGGACAGTCGCTACGTCGTATGCGTCACGTATCATTTCCGCGTGCAAGCCGCGTCTCCTGCTCCCTTCCAGCTCGCAAGTCGCAGGCACTTCGCATGGATCGTATCGATAAGCAAATGCGCGAACTGTGAAACGCTGAGAATTTCATCAAACACTTTCACTCGCGAAACTCCCCAGACTCTCTCACTCACTCGCTCAGCTCTTCAACCTTACTGCTTCCACTGCAGCTTCCCTATCGCCCATCAATGGAGTCCGACCTCAAGCACCCGGCGATCAATACGAAGCTACCTCGCGACGAGCTGGAGGGGAAGGTCGCTTCGTTTGTCCGCCGCGACATGTACGGGCCCCGGGGGCGCGGCGACCAGCCTCTGGCGGAGAAGGTGCTCCTAGGCCTCGCGCTGGTGACGATCGTGCCCGTGCGCGTCATGGTCGCCGTGAACATGGCTCTGTTCTACTACTCCATCTGCAGGGTCTGCACTCTCGGCGTGGAGCCGCACCGGGAGGACGACCAGGAGGACTACGCGCACGTCGGAGGGTGGCGGAGGGCGGTGATCGTGCACTCCGGGAGGTTCTTGTCCCGAGTCATGTTCTTCGTGCTCGGGTTTTACTAGATTTGCGAGAGGCGTTGTTGTTGGCCACAAAAATGGCACGCCCAGGATCACCATAATCAGAAATCAAAACACGTTAATGGAGAAATTATCGATTCGCGTACCTGATTTGAAATCCATCGAACTTGACGCGGAATTTACGATGGTTTCCGAACACGAACTCAAGTGCTTCTCCCCTACATCCTTCATTATAATACTGGCTTAATGAGATTGCCACTCACGAGAAGAAAGTTCTCTCTAGATCCGTATGTGAGTCAGATTGTACATCATCAGGTTAGGGGAGAGACTTGAGCGCTATTTATAGAGTTTTCGATCACGGGCCTTCTCATTACGGGCCGGGCCGTACTCGGTCTACACCAGCCAGCCCCATATTAGACTTATTAAGAACCCATATATCTTACCTTTATTAGACCAAACTAATTCAGTTAATTTCAATTAATGAAGCCCACGTTAGGAAATTCTTACAGTTGTGGGCCGAGAATTCTCAATTCTTGTGATGATGAGATAAGGGGGAGGAACATTTCACTTTTTGCTCGTGTTTTGAAGCTTTTGCGTGAAATTTATTGCTTCTGGTTCAAATTTTGGAGAATCTTGCCCTGGCATTGCTATGGATTGAGGAGGAAATTCTGACTTACTTTTTCTTTATAGCAGTTTTAGTCTAAATTGTTGAAGCACCCGAGAGGAATATCGCGTGAGGAAGATGCTGTCACGTCGGTTTAAACGGGCATGAATACGTGTGGGTTTAACTGATATCAAGATATCAAACTAGATAGATTAAAAATTGCTAAAACTGAAGCACAAAAGTTACTTATCGTCCGGACCTTTTCCGTTCAAATTTCCTGTCTAAGATTAAGGATGGAAAAGTAGAATTAGTATTCGTATGCACGTGCAGCGTTTACGGGGGTTTATGGTGTAATACAGAGAGAGAGAGAGAGAGAGCACGTGAATGTCTGCTTATCAAGTAGTTTCTGCGGTGTTTTGTCCATAAGCTCATATGATTTTTGAATTTGACCATGCAATAGCAAAGTGTGGATCTGTTCCAACTGGATTCAAATTGAATTGGAAATCGAAAGCAACCACGAACTTCATACCATTCGCATTGTTTCTTGGGAATATGCTATAATGAATGGCGAATGGACTGAAGTGGCTGTTCAGAAGTGTCCTCTGACATTAAATCACGAAAAGATTTTAATTAAACCATTAATTATTCTCAGTTGTTTGTGAAATTGAAAAAATGTGTTGGGCAGCCGCAGATCTCAACTGTAGAAATCATTGGTACTAGCACAGTGATTACTTTTCATCGTGCATGCTTGCTCTTCTGCGGGTTCTCCCAAAACTTTGCGAACACTTAGAGAGGTTCATAAGGTACCGTTTCTAGATTCAAAAATTCACCT